CGGGGTGCGAAGAATAGCATGGGGGTTAGGACTGACCGCTAAAGAGGTCCAAAATTTATAAAGGGGGTCGAATTTTCAACTTAAGGGGGGTCAAATTATTTTTGGGGTGCCAAGAATACCGTGGCGGTTAGGACCCACCGCTATAGGGGTCCAAAAATTATAAAGGGGGTCGGATTCTTTCTTAAAGGCCGTACAATTAATTTCGGGGCGCGAAGAAAAGCTTGGGGTTAGGACCCACCGCTTTAGGGGTCCAAAAATTGTAAAGGGGGTCTGATTCTCACTTAAGGGGGGTCCAATTGATTTCGGGGTGCGAAGAATAGCCTGGGGGTTAGGACCCACCACTAAAAGGGTCCAAAATTTATAAAGGGGTCGGATTCTCACTTAAGGGGGGTCCACTTAATTTCGGGGTGCGAAGAATAGCCTGGGGGTTAACACCCACCGCTTTAGGGGTCCAAAAATTATAAAGGGGGTCTGATTCTCACTTAAGGGGGGTCCAATTGATTTCGGGGTGTGAAGAATAGCCTGGGGGTTAGGACCCACCACTAAAAGGGTCCAAAATTTATAAAGGGGTCGGATTTCAACTTAAGGGGGGTCAAATTAATTTCGGGGTGCCAAGAATACCCTGACAGCTAACACCCACCGCTAAAGGGGACCAAAAATTACAAAGCGGGTCGGATTTGAACTTAAAGCGGGTCAAAATAATTTCGGGGTGACAAGAAGACCCTAGCGGTTAGGACCCACCGCTACAGGGGTCGAAAAATTATAAAGGGGGTCGGATTTCCACTTATGGGGGGTCCAATTAATTTTAGGGGTGCGAAGAATAGCCTAGGGGTTAGGACCCACCGCTAAAGGGGTCCAAAATTTATAAAGGGGGTCGAATTTCAACTTAAGGGGGGTCAAATTAATTTCGGGTTGCCAAGAATACCCTAGCGGTTAGGACCCATGGCTATAGGGGTCCAAAAATTATAAAGGGGTCAGATTTCAACGTAAGGGGGGTCAAATTAATTTCGGGGTGCCAACTACACCTAGGCGGTCAGAACCCACCGCCATAGGGGTCCAAAAATTATAAAGGGCGACGGATTTCAACTTAAGGGGGGTCAAATTGATTTCGGGGTGCCAAGAATATCCTGGCAGTTAGGACCCACCGCTACGGGGGTCCAAAACCTATAAAGGGGGTCGGATTTCAACTTAAGGGGGGTCAAAGTAATTTCGGGGTGCGAAGAACAGCTTGGAGGTTAGGACCCATCGCTAAAGGAGTCCNCAGCTTGGAGGTTAGGACCCATCGCTAAAGGAGTCCAAAATTTATAAAGGGGGTCGGATTTCAACTTAAGGGGGGTCAAAGTAATTTCGGGGTGCCAAAAATACCGTGGCGGTTAGGACCCACCGCTATAGGGGTCCAAAAATTATAGAGGGGGTCAGATTTCAACTTAAGGGGGTTTAAATTAATTTCGGGGTGCCAGGAATACCCTGGCGGTTAGGACCCACCGCTACAGGGGTCCAAAAATTATAACGGGGGTCGGATTCTCACTTAAGGGGGGTCCAATTAATTTCAGGGTGCGAAGAATAGCATGGGGGTTAGGACTCACCGCTAAAGGGGTCCAAAATTTATAAAGGGCGTCGGATTTCAACTTAACGGGGGTCAAATTAATTTTGGGGTGCCAAGAATACCCTGGCGGCCAGAACCCACTGCTTTAGGGGTCCAAAAAATATAAAGGGGGTCGGATTTTAACTTAAGGGGGGTGAAATTAATTTCGGGGTGCCAAGAATATGCTGGCGGTTAGGACCCACCGCTTTGGGGGTCCAAAAATTATAAAGGGGTCGGATTTAAACTTAAGGGGGATCAAATTAATTAGAGGGTGCAAAGAATACGCTGACGGTTAGGACCCACCGCTATAGGGGTCCAAAAATTATAAAGGGAGTCGGATTATCACTTAAAGGCCGTACAATTAATTTCGGGGCGCGAAGAAAAGCCTGGGGTTAAGACCCACCGGTTTAGGGGTCCAAAAATTATAAAGGGGGTCTGATTCTCACTTAAGGGGGGTCCAATTGATTTCGGGGTGCGTAGAATAGCCTGGGGGTGAGGACCCACCACTAAAGGGGTCGAAAATTTATGAAGGGGTCGGATTTTTACTTAAGGGGGGTCCAATTAATTTCGGTGTGCGAAGAATAGCCTGGGGGTTATGACTCACCGCTAAAGGGGTCCAAAATTTATAAAGGGGGTCGGATTCAACTTAAGGGGGGTCAAATTTATTTCGGGGTGCCAAAAATACCCTGGCGGTTAACACCCACCGCTAAAGGGGTCCAAAAAATGTAAAGGGGGTCGGATTTCAAGTTAAGGGGGGTCAAATTAATTTCGGGGTGCCAAGAATACCCTGACGGTTCACACCCACCGCTAAAGGGGACCAAAAATTATAAAGGGGGTCGGATTTCAACTTAAGGGGGGTCAAAATAATTTCGGGATGACAAGAATACTGTGGCGGTTAGAACCCACCGCTACAAGGGTCGAAAAATTATAAAGGGGGTCGAATTCTCACTTAAGGAGGGTCCAATTAGTTTCGGGGTGCGAAAAATAGCCAAGGGGTTAGGACCCACCGCTAAAGGGGTTAAAATTTATAAAGGGGCTCTGATTTCAACTTAAGGGGGGTAAATTATTTTCGGGGTGCCAAGAATACCCCGGCGGTTAGGACCCACTGCTATAGGGGTCCAAAAATTATAAAGGGGGTCAAATTTCAACTTTAAAGGGGTCAAATTAATTTCGCGGTGCCAAGAATACCCTGGCGGTTAGGACCCACCGCTATAAGGGTCCAAAAATTATAAAGGGGGTCGGATTTCAACTGAAGGGGGGTCAAATTAATTTCGGGGTGCCAAGAATACCCTGGCGGTTAGGACGCACTGCCACAGGGGTCCAAAAATTATAAAGGGGGTCAGATTCTCACGTAAGGGGGGTCCAATTAATTTTGGGGTGTCAAGAATAGCCTGGGGGTGAGGACCCACCGCTAAAGGGCTCCTAAATTTATAAAGGGCATCGGATTTCGCCTTAAGGGGGGTCAAATTAATTTCGGGGTGCCCAGAATACCCTGGCGTTAGGACGCACGGCTATAGGGATCCAAAAATTATAAAGGGGTCGGATTTTAACTTAAGGGGGGTCAAATTAATTTCGGGTTGCCCACAATACCCAGGCGGTCAGGAGCCACCCCTACAGGGAACCAAAAATTATAAAGGGGGTCCGATTTCAACTTAAGGGGGGTCAAATTAATATTGGGGTGCCAAGAATATCCTGGCGGTAAGGACCCACCGCTACAGGGGTCCAAAAATTATAAAGGGGGTCGGATTTCAACTTCAGAAGGGTCAAATTAATTTCGGGGTGCCTAGAATACCTTGGCGGTTAGGACCCAACGCTACAGGGGTCTAAAAATTATAAAGGGGGTCGGATTCTTACTTAAGGGGGGTCCAATTAATTTCGGGGTGCGAAGAATAGCCTGGAGGTTAGGACCCATCGCTAAAGGAGTCTTAAATTTATAAAGGGGGTAGGATTTCAACTTAAGGGGGGTCAAAGTAATTTCGGGGTACCAAGAATACCCTGGCGGTTAGGACCCACCGCTATAGGGGTCCAAAAATTATAGAGGGGGTCGGATTTCAACTTAAGGGGGGTCWAATTAATTTCGGGGTGCCAGGAATACCCTGGCGGTTAGGACCCACCGCTAAAGGGGTCAAAAATTTATAAAGGGGGTCGGATTTCAACTTAAAGGGGGTCAAATTAATTTTGGGGTGCCAAGAATAGCCTGGCGGTTAGAACCCACTGCTATAGGGGTCCAAAAATTATAAAGGGGGTCGGATTTCAACTTAAGGGGGGTCAAATTGATTTCGGGGTGCCAAGAATACCCTGGCGGTTAGGACCCACCGCCATAGGGATCCAAAAATTATAAAGGGGGTCGGATTTTTACTTAAGGGGGATCCAATTAATTTCGGGGTGCGAAGAATAGCCTGGGGGTTAGGCCCCACCGCTAAATGGGTCCAAAATTTATAAAGGGGGTCGGATTTCAACTTAAGTGGGGTCAAATTAATTCGGGGTGCGAAGAATACCCTGGCGGTTAGCATGCACCGCTAAAATGGTCCAAAAATTATAAAGGGGGTCGGATTTCAACTTAAGGGGGGTCAAATTTATTTCGGGGTGCCATGAATACCCTCGCGGTTAGGACCCACCGCTACAGGGGTCGATAAATTATAAAGGGGGTCGGATTTTCACTTAAGGGGGGTCCAATTAATTTCGGGGTGCGAAGAATAGCCTGGGGGTTAGGACCCACTGCTAAAGGGGTTTAAAATTTATAAAGGGGGTCGGATTTCAACTTAAGGGGGGTCAAATTAATTTCGGGGTACCAAGAATACACTGGCGGTTAGGACCCACTGCTATAGGGGTCCAAAAAGTGCTAAAGAGTGCTACAATCCTTCTTTTAGTGCTCTTATCCTACTTTTAGTATTCTTTTGCAGTCTCTTTCGCATTACAGTGCTGTAATCCTCCTTAAAGTGTTAAAAGTGTTCTTTTGCAGTCTGGTGCTCTTTTTTTTAATTTTAGTGTGAAAAGACCACTGTTGCAGTCCGGTGCTCTTAACTGTTGTCGATGTGAGGTGCTCTCTTTTCAAATTAGAGTGCTGAAAGACTACTTTTGCATTTCGGTGCTCTCTTTTCCAATTAAAGTGCTACAAGATTACCTTCGCAGTCCGATTCTCTTAACAGTTTTCGCAGTGCGGTGCTCTCGTTTGAAATTATAGTGCTATAAGACTACTTTCGCAACTTTTCACATTATAGTGCTATAAGACTACTTTCCCTGTCTCGTTCTCACTCCTTGTTTCGCTCAACGTGTTCTTTGCAGAAATTTTGTAAAACTGTCGGAGAGTATACCTTCCTGGTACTTCGTGAGGAGGTCCGTGTTTCGAGGAGAGAAGAGTCACTCACTGCAGGGCCGTCTGCGTCCCAACCTGCGAAAGGTCGAGTAAGGGTCTCCAAAGGGATTGCTCCCTCAGGATCAAGACAGCGGGAAGGGTCACCTTTTCATTCGCCTCAAGCGTGTGTTGGATCCACTGCCGCAGCACATGCGGGCTCGGGTGGGAAAACGAAGAAAAAAATACTCGCGCGGAAAATGGTTGCCAAAGATAAGAAGAAAGCGGAGGAGCCAAAGTCTGGAAAGAGGAAAACGTCGGAGAAGAAGTCTGCGAAAGGGAAGGATCAAACAAAAGAAAAGTTGTCAGTGGCGAAGGAGCTTACTCCTAACGACGAGGCTGAGAAACTCTCTCAAATGTGGGAGGAGTTAAAAGAGCTTAATGACAAGAAGCTTGACGCCAACTCGTTCACCCTTCCAGCGTCCTGCCTCCTTCGACCTTTTGCTGATGACAGTGGCAAGAGACCGCTAGAGGTTCGCGAGCCCGAGGAGAGGCAGGTCCGACGGATCGTGGACTCCATGAAGAGGAACCCTTTTGCAGACACTCTGGCTCACGTCGGCTTGATTGATCCTTCACAGGCTCGTACGAAGGAAGATGTGGATCTCGGCAAGCTGCTCTTTGGAGGCTACAAAGTTTCGTGCTCGGTGGTGGACACACAAGGGAGGCCAGAGAACGCCTTAGGAACCTTCACCCGACTGTCTCTGCTTTCCAAAAGGCGAATTGTTTCATTTACGTCRGYCTCACCRTYCAGGAAGCTCGTAAGATCGYGCACGAGCACAACCACATTGCAKGCTTCCACCAGGACTTCAGTTTCATCCAGAAAYTGAAATGCTGGCGAGYGGTGTTCGAATCGATGGGCTGCYAAAAGAATGCCGCTACRAAGACTGCATGCTTGCAGGAAATTGGATTTTYAAACCCAGACAAARATCTTYTRCAGAGGTCGGATCCACATTTCCAGGTYYGCATGCGGTCCAAGGAAGTGTGGACCCTTCAGCTGAAGATATTSGATATGTGGTTGAAAGGGGATTGTCTGRACCAKAAAATRAAGGTYYCTACTGGGAAAAAGGCRAAAMYTTCTAGTGATGATAGCGAGGCGGRTGRCCCAGARGGAACTYGGCCRRCAGYGAAGAAAAGATTGAAGAAATTCAATTCTGCTGAAGCCCAACGTCAGGTACTGCGTTTCTTCAATYCTAGAGCGCAGGTGGARCATGGAAAAATTGTAGCTGAGCCAAMWRAYATGCCAYAGGCGCATTGGGTGGAGATGGGTTCTCTCGATGACRAGTCTGTTATTCCCATCCTCRAACAGGTGGCCGCAAAGYAACTCTCGATTGATGGTATGCGGAAGAAGTTTGAGGTGGCGAAGAGGTTCGGTCGAGTGGTTAGGTATTTCTTAACAKAAWCAAAGTCAGCAGATTGGGCTAGCTGCAAAGAACTTTACCCACTCMACACAACCAAGGATGTTTTGGAGCCYYTYGCCAGTAAYTGGAARCARAAGGCRGATGTACCTCGAGCTTTGCAACARCACGTTGCTCGAGCGAAGRCGTGGAAGGARCYGAATGACAAAASGGAGGCCGAAAGTCGAAGAACAAGGTYTAAACTCGTCGTCTCAKAAAAARCTGGTACTCACTTCTTGGACTGGACGGAGGTGAAATATAAAGAACAYTGCGGCAACGTGAAAGTCCTGGAAGGCGATATGATGGACTTGAAGAACTTGACAGAGAAGTTGCCTTTCTCTCTGATTATCTGCGACTTCCCGTATGGGTTTAATCTGCCAATGTCCTCTGGCGATCTGTTCCTTTTCCTGAGGAGCACATTGTTCAGGTCCTTGAGAACATCAAGGAGGTATGCAGTGGACTGTTGGGTGACAATAGCCGGATTCTGCTCTCTAGACATGCTGCCCTCGGTTCGGCGAACGTTCAAGATGGTTTGCAATGCAGGAGAGGAGGTGGTCACGTGGTGCAAGCCGAATGTCATGAACACTGGAGGGCCTCGTCTTGTGAGCGCGACGGAGTTTTGTGTCATCGGCTACTACGACCAAAGTGGTTCTCGAGAGGCAGCTCATTACAATTTTGCCAGCATGGACCCTAGGCACAACTACAGGCTGTTCGATGCCGTCATGAAGAAGTATATTCATCCGATTGACGTCGAGGTGCTGTGCCCTTACCAGAAGCCCGTCGCCTTGTATGCGTGGTTGATCGAGAAATTCTCTCCTCCTGGCGCTTATATCATCGACGGTTTTTCCGAGTCCGAAACAGGTGCAATTGCCAGCGTTTTCTGCAACAGGAATTGCCTGGTGGTTGAGAAGTGCCCGCGCTGCATCAAGGGAATCCGCGCTCGCATTCTGAACGATATTGGCCCTACGATTGAAAGAGAAAGCAGGCGCGAGGAGGCCGCATAGGAGGATAAGACTTACAATTGTGTAGTCGCTGCAGAGGACACAACTGGAGCAACAACGCCGACCACTGCTGCAGCAGTAGCAACAGCAGCCGAACCAGCAGCAGTAGGACCACCCGCAGCAGAAGCACCACCAGCAGGAGCACCAGCACCAACACCACCAGCAGCAGCACCAGGACACCACCAGCAGCAGCAGCAGCAACAACACCAGCAGCAACACCAGCAGCAGTAGTAGCAGCAGCAACACCACCAGCAGCAGCAGCAGCAGCAGCAGCACCAGCACCAGCAGCACCAGCAGCACCAGCAGAAGCAACAGAACCACCCGCAGCAGCAGCAACAACAAAACCACCCGTAGCGGCAACAGCAATACCACCAGCAGCAGTAGCAGCAGCAGCAGCGGGAGCAGCGAGCGCACAAGGGGCAGCGAGCGAGCCAACAACAGCTGGACCAGTCAAAGAAGTGCTCGCACAGCGAGAGGCAGCGGGACCTACACACAACCAAGACTCCTCACGTGGGACAACTACGAGGTTAAGGAAACGGAAGATCGTCGGTGACGAGGTTACGAGCCCTCGCGCGAAAAAAGGTGTTCTTGCATTAGGGGCACGCACAAGGGAGGCTGGCGGAGGCAAAAGTTAGCCAAGACAAATTGCAGTCCTCTGTTGCTCTGAATTGCAGTTTGCAGTCCTCAGAAGTTCCTCCCAGTTATAGGGCTATAATCTTGACGACTGTGCCGAGAGCTTCTGTGTTTTTGCTACCCTTGTACTTTTGTGTTGGTGCGTGCCAGCTTAAGCCCTCTTCGTTGTTATAGTCCTATAATGTTGTTTGTGTTGGTGTGGGCCAGCTACGACTGTCTCTTGCGGCCGCTTCTCGGTTGTACTTTTCTGTTGGTGTGGGCCAGCTCAACCCCTCAAAGGATTGTCCCTTCCCACCATGAGGCACTCGTTTCGCTGTTGCCTTGCTTCCTTCCCACGCTGTTGCCCTCCTCTACTAGGGCACTATTTTTGTTGTTGCCCTCCTGTACTGGGGCAGACTTTGCAAAGGTTAGTGTAGAACTTTTCACCACGGCAAGTAGAGCACTGTGTTGTAGTTTAGGGCACAATAGGTGTTAGATTGGTTGGTTACTAGGGCTGGTACAGAGATCAGCGGTGAAGAGAAGTTTCGTCTTGCTGTGGTTGTTTGAACACTGTGCTGCAGCATCCTTCAATTTTATTCGCTGCGTGATCTCCTTTTCTCTCTGTCTTTGTCTTTCTCTCTTACTTTCTTTCTCTCTCTCTCTCTCTCTCTCTCTCTCTTTCTCTCTTTCTCTTCCTCTCGCTCTCTCTCGCTGATTGTTGAGCACGCTTACTCGGCTAGTGCAAAGACCAGCGACGAAGATAAATTTTACTATTGCTGCAATTGTTTTGTAGTGTGCTTCAAGATGCTTCGGCTCTTTTCGCCACGTCTTCTCTCTCTCTCTCTCTCTGTCTCTCTCTCTCTGTGTGTGTGTGTAAATGAGAAACCACGATTCCCCTCGCTAGCCTAAATTAAGAAAAATATCAGGAAAATTTATTTTTATTTTAATTTTGTTTTTTTTAGCGCGGAAAAACCGTCGCCCATTCGTCGCATTTTCCAGTTCTGCCACTCCACCACTTGTGGCTCAACAGTTAAACGACTACTGTTAAAGACCCAAGGAATGCCTGCCTGCCCCGCCGCCAAAAGCAGGGGTAAAAAAAAAAGAAAAAAAAGCTTACRAAAACAGCTGTGTAGGGGCCTCAGCTCCACTCTCGACTTGCACAACAAGGCTCTAGGCATGCAGAACAAGGCTGAAGGCCTTACACGTGCTGTTTACCCTGAGAAAAAGAAAAAGGGGTGCATATCCTCCCCCACCCACTCTTGGCCCACTGCTCCCTCTGTAGTGCCTCCCTGTCCCC